CAAATTCATATGAATTCTTCACTGAATATTTACAATACTCAGCCAATTTCCTTAGTTGTCTACATAAGAAACGTGAGATCCTATCCATCACAGTAACATTGTTATTAACAATCACTCTTAAAGTAAGTCCTTGCTTGTGTATTTTTGGAAGACCGTAAGCCGAAGTTGCCCTAGCATTCCTCTGAAGAAGTGAATTCATTTTCCACTTCTCTATTTCTCCTCTGCTTACACAAACGTTAAGCGATTCCCTAAGTCTGGTTTTAAGACTTTCTGTAGGATCCTTCAGTAAAAGTATGTAAGTTTCTGAGTCATTTAAATGAACCATCATTTTTTGTATATAACTTAGCCTATCCACCACTTTTATCTGCCTTTAAGCAAACAGATCATTTTGGTGCACAATTCTAGAAACTTTATTCAAGTCATACGATTTCTTTGGAACAATTACTTTATCAAAATGAGGAATCACTTCTCTTTCTTTACTATTCTCAGCCTCTTTTGGCAGCTTGTCCGTTAATTAACTCAACCAGTATCTCCATAGGATGATATTGCTCATATGGAAATGCAATGTTTAAACCTTTTTCCAAGACAAGCGTAACATTAGCATCTTTAGATGAACTGGATAAATTAATGACTTTATTTTTGCTAGAAAACGCCCGTTCTGGCAGTAGTCAGGTTGCTGCAAATGAAGTCGTCATTATTTTACTAACATACACACATATGCATGTATTGGTATGCATGGAAGTATTTATTTGTTTGTGCTTGTACGTGCTTGTGCGGGTGCATGTGTGTATGAATTTATACATGCATAAGCGTATATGTGTAGGAATGTAGTTATGTATGTATGTTTATATGTATGCAAGTATGCGTATATGTACATAAGTATGTATGCATGTAGGAATGAAGTTATGCTTGTATGGGTATATTTGTGTGTATGTATGGTTGTGCGAAAAAATGTATGTTTATGTGTAGGCAGCTGCGTGCGTATGTACTCATGTATGTGGGTTTGTTTGTATGTATGTATTCATGTGTGTGAGTGGTTTATTGTGTATGTATACATGTACGTGTGTATGCACGTATGTACGTAAATGTATGCATGCATGTAGGAATGAATTCAGGTATGTATGAATGGATGGTTGTATAGACATGCACACATGCACATAGACATACTCGTAAACTCTTATATGACGTCAACTTCGGTCGTTCTCAATAGGCTTTGACCTCAGGCGTTGACGCATGGTTGATCGAAAGCCTTAATCACTGGAACGTTGGTTTTTGCGTCGATTCGTCAAATCGCCAAACCTGCGTATGGCGAAATCTCGGGCTTGACCTCATTTTCACTGATCCGCGTCGCAATAGCGCCCATTTCGCTTGATCACGTGGCTTTGTCTCCTGCCCAAAGGTCTCTCTCCATTCCAAGTCGACCTGATGCCGGCCAATCAGTGAGCTCTCCATTCAGGCACATTTCACATGCATGTCCCAGTCGACTGTCTCCTTCACTCTTTATGCTCCTAAGGTCAGTCTGCTCACTTGGCCTGACGAATCATCTACGTGTATCACTTACATGCGATGGTATTATTCACTTTTAATCTGCCAACCCTAAATCCTGTGTCTATGCCTGTATATAGTTGTCCGTATTTTCTCTCTCTCTATCCAGAAACTTTATTCATGCCATACGATTTCTTTGGAATAATTGCTTCATCAAAATGACGAATATATATATATATATATTTGGTGCAAATATCTAGAAACTTTAATCATGCCATAAGATTTCTTTGGAATAATTGCTTCATCAAAATGACGAATATATATATTTTTATATATTTATATATATATATTTATATATATATATATATGTATCATACACACGCATACACACATACGCATAGACATCATACGTTTCATACTCGCATCCGATATTTACGTGCTTCGAAATGACGGATATATCCCAAAAACAGTCTTGGTCGTTGTCTTTTATTTTGCCTCAGGCTGTTGTGTGACGGCAATGTTTACAAATATCGCTTACGTAAAGAACGTCCTTATCGATTCTTTCCTTGTTTACCTGACCCGGGTCGTCCGTCTGCCCTTCTGCCCGGCTGTTTGGCTGGTGCTTCTGTCCTCTATTTCGGGCATCATTTTACGGGGCTGTAGCTACACTCGTTGCACAATTACCAGACGCATCTGCCTCTTTCTGATTGGAGCAAACTGGCACTCTTAGTTGTACACTTTCTATGTTTACTCTGCAACATGCAGTTTATTAGGCCAGTTATAGACACTATCATTATGCACATCTCAGCGATACACACCCTACAAGGCTGCATGCCTATTCTAGCGAGTGTGTTATTCAGAGACAGCAATTTGGCTCTTGGCTTGGGCTCATTTTTGCTACATAATCGTGTTTTAGGGCAAACCTCCAAAAGCTCACCCATTGTTGCCATGCTCTTGTCCTACATTCTACCGTTGACTAGATAGACTCAGAGATAGTTTATCTGTTTGAATCTTCCTTTTTCCCTCTTCTCTCTCTCTCTCGCTCTACCGCCATCGTGATTTCCTATACTATTGCGCTCCGCCCCTGTGTACACATA